TAGAGTGTCCAGCACTGTAGCTTGCTGGTCGTTGAGTGAAGCTGGGTGTTGGTGTTGAGATGGAGATCTCTGGGAGATTTTCGCTGTTTGATATTACGTGGAGCTGGGAGGTGTCTTGTGGACCAGTGTCCTGAAGTTGGCTCTCCCACCTCAGAAGCACAGCACTGACTCCTGGCTGGAGCACCAAGAGCCTTTCATCCACACGGCTCAGAATAAAAGGGAGAAAAAATAGAAAGAACGAAAGAAAGAGGATAAAATAAAATAAAGTTATTAAAAAGAAGAAGAAGAAAAAAAAAAGAACGGAGGGACAGAATCCTAGGACAAATGGTGAAAGCAAAGCTCTACAGAGAAAATCTCACCCAGAAGCATACACATACACACTCACAAAAAAGAGGAAAAGGGGAAAATATAATATATCTTGCTCCCAAAGTCCACCTCCTCAATTTGGGATGATTCATTGTCTATTCAGGTATTCCACAGATTTAGGGTACATCAAGTTGATTGTGGAGATTTAATCCGCTGCTTCTGAGGCTGCTGGGAGAGATTTCCCTTTCTCTGTTCGCACAGCTCCCAGGGTTCAGCTTTGGTTTTGGCCCCGCCTCTGTGTGTAGGTTGCCTGAGGGCGTCTGTTCTTCGCTCAGACAGGATGGGGTTAAAGGAGCAGCTGATTCGGGGGCTCTGGCTCACTCAGGCCGGGGGGGAGGGAGGGGTACGGAGCGCAGGGCGAGCCTGCGGCGGCAGAGGCCGGCGTGACGTTGCACCAGCCTGAGGCGCGCCGTGCATTCTCCCAGGGAAGTTGTCCCTGGATCACGGGACCCTGGCAGTGGCGGGCTGCACAGGCTCCCCGGAAGGGGGCTGTGGATAGTGACCTGTGCTCGCACACAGGCTTCTTGGTGGCGGCAGCAACAGCCTTAGCGTCTTATGCCTGTCTCTGGGGTCTGCGCTTTTAGCCGCAGCTCGCACCCGTCTCTGGGGCTCCTTTACGCGGCGCTTTTAATCCCCTCTCCTCGCGCACCAGGAACAAAGAGGGAAGAAAAAGTCTCTTTTCTCTTCGGCAGCTCCAGACTTTACCGGACTCCTTCCTGGCTAGCCGTGGCGCACTAGCCCCCTTCAGGCTGTGTTCACGCCGCCAACCCCAGTCCTCTCCCTGCTCTCCGACCGAAGTCCGAGCCTCAGCTCCCAGCCCCCGCCTGCCCCGGCGGGTGAGGAGACAAGCCTCTCGGGCTGGTGAGTGCTGGTCGGCACCGATCCTCTGTGCGGCAGTCTCTCCACTTTGCCCTCCGCACCCCTGTTGCTGTGCTCTCCTCCGTGGCTCTGAAACTTCCCCCCATGCCCACTCCCCGTCTCCGCCCGCGAAGGGGCTTCTAGTGTGTGGAAACCTTTCCTCCTTCACAGCTCCCTCCCACTGGTGCAGGTCCCGTCCCTATTCTTTTGCCTCTGTTTATTCTTTTTTCTTTTTCCCTACCCAGGTATGTGGGGAGTTTCTTGCCTTTTGGGAGGTCTGAGGTCTTCTGCCAGCGTTCAGTAGGTGTTCTATAGGAGCATTTCCACGTGTAGATGTATTTGTGATGTATCTGTGGGGAGGAAGGTGATCTCCGTGTCTTACTCTTCTGCCATCTTCTCCTGGTCCCCCCTTCAGGTATATTTGTTAAGCTCTTTTGTCCCCTTCAAAGCTTTCTTTGATATATGGAGTTGGAGGAAAGGGAAAATGGAGAGAGAGAGAAAAAATTAAAATGTATTTTAAATAATATAATTCAAAGGGACCTACATTCTAAACCCTTAACACCAATGTTTTGGGCCATTTAGATATTTGGGCTGTGTGGATTGCTGGTTTGGAAAGGTGGATAGGAATTAGGAGATGTCAAAGAGGGTAGCCTCCTAATTCAGCAGGTTGTTAGGTGAAGCCTCAAAGAAAATTGAATTTTAGGAAGAGAGCCACACATCTCAGGTTGCCAGTGCCAGTTAGCGCTTGCTGTCCCAGCATAATTATTAATAGTGCCCTATTTGATTCTCAAAAGTGTCCTGTGTGGAATGGCCCCCCTCGTTTTAGGTCATGCACGGTGGAGAATATTGGCGTGATGAATGGGAAAGATGAAGAGGGCTCAAGGGAGAGTTATGAGGGTAAATTCTGTGCAGGGTTTCCTTAAAAGGCTTCTCGTGCTTTCTGAAATGCCTCACAGACTTTCTTCTGACGCACTTCTCATCATCAGTTTATTTTTCTTTGATGCAGTTCTTATGGGGCCAGTGTGTCTCAGCACGGCCTGGAATTCTGTTAGACTCGTGGGCAGCAGTGCTGCATCCATGTGTGATTCAAACCTGAACAGATGGGCTGTGAATGGGGTGATAAGAATAGAGAGAAGCACATAGCAGTAGACCAAACTTCCTGTGTACCCGCCTTTGAATACTGTTTCACTGTCTGAAATAGCATTCGTCTTTTGGCTGGGATCATTTATTCCCTCTGGAATTAAGCAATGGCATTGGCAGCAAAAGAAACTATTTTGGGAAGGAGATGTGGGAGGAATTTTGCCATGTATGACAGGCTGGGCAGGAGTACCTTTCATGCTTTTGAGGACCGCACTGTTCATTAGTGCCCTGGTAAAGAGAAACTGACAACTTTCCGATAATCCCAAATGTAGTGAATGTTGAGGTGAATGCATATACACTGTCATCTACGAAGATTAGCAAAGACTGAGTTTAGATGCTTCAATTTAATTCACCTACATGGCAGAAAGAGAACTTTTCTTTGGAGATTAGCCTCTAATGCAGGTGCTTTTGAGAAGGGGTAAGATATAACATCTTGTTCCTGTCCCCTTCCTCACATACGCCCTTGCAGTTGTCTTTGCATATTCACATGCAGACTTTTCTAGATTGTTGGAGTTTAAAATAAGGCAATGAATGCTGTGTGTCTCCCCCTCCTTCCCCAAGAAGCTGAGGTGGGTAGGGCTTGGCAGCTGGTAACGGCTACAGAGATAAATAAGCATCAGGGGTCCTGGGTGGACAGGGTGCAGAAGCGCCTGGAATGAGGTTGTGCAGCTGAGTGCCTTCCGTGGGACGAGGCCATGAGGATGGAGCTGCAGCTGGAGTCCAGAAGTTCAGGCAGTGAAAGGGAGGTGGGACTTATAAGAACTCGTTTAGTAGTCCTTTTGATCAAGCTGTTGCATTTTTGGGGTAGGGAGAGTACTTTAGAGGACAGATGAAAGTCATTTCATGCTATTTTGTCATTTAATGGATGTATTTAATGAAAACCAGGGAATTATGTTAGTCTGCTCCTATTTGATTTTTCTATTTGATACTCTTCCGCTAATAAAGAGAACTACCTTCAGAATTTAGTTTTTACAAATTTTCTGCAATTAGATATTAAAAACAGCAGCCCAGGGCTGCTTAACACTTTTCTATTTTGTTACTGATAACCAGTTTGGAAAACGTTTCTCTTTTTTTTTTTTTTAATTAATTTTTGTTGGAGTATAGTTGCGTTACAATGTTGTGTTAGCTTCTACTGCACAACAAAATGAATCAGCCATATATGTACATATATCCCCTCCCTTTTGGATTTCCCTCCTGTTTAGGTTGGAAAACATTTTTCTATGGAAGGCTTTTGAATTCTCTTTTCAATGTGGTAGATGTAATAACCAAAGATGATTTTTGCTCTTTTATTATTTTTTTCACTTCGGCAGTTGGGCTAATGAGAAAGGTGAAGATGTTGAGATTCCCCACTCCAAAGAGTGCTGTCTGGGTTTATGATAAGCATTTTGTAAACTTTGTGAACCCTTGTTCACAAAGGTATAGTAAGTTTACTTAAAGTCAAAAATCATAAATACCTACGTGTTTTACATGGGGAGCTTGGTGAAGTGTCAGTTAGTGGTACCATTATAGACATCAATGGCCTTATATTAATTTTTTTTAGACAAATAAACTATCATTTTATTTTCCAGCTAAATGATTCAAAGATTGAATGAGCTCAGAATTTGAAATATGCTGCTCTCTTTCTATCTGGACATGACATTAAATGTTCTTCATCTTCTTGTGACATTCTCTTTTTTTAAAAATCATTTCAATTTTTCATTTGAGAAATTGGTGGGAAAGACCTTTATATGGTGACAAGACATAAAAAAGAGTTTTAAAAAATTTGAAGCATTTCAAGAAAAAAATTGAAGACCTAGTTATTATGCCTTTCAAATTAAGGCTTTTCTAAAGTAGCATTTTCCTTTTGTGTGTCTAAACAGTAGAATGACATTTCTATAAGGAAGTTAGAGAATTAATGTTTTTAATAGTTTTTAAAAAAATCTATTTATTTTAGGCTGTGTTGGGTCTTCGTTGCAGGCTTTTTCTCTGGTTGCGGTGAGCAGGGGCTACTCTTCGTTCATTGTGGAGCACAGGCTCTAGGCGCATGGGCTTCAGTAGTTGTGGCACATGGGCTCAGTAGTTGTGGCTCGCGGGCTCCAGAGCGCAGGCTCATTAGTGTGGCGCACTGGCTTAGTTGCTCTGCGGCATGTGGGATCTTCCCGGACCAGGGCTCGAACCCATGTCCCCTGCATTGGCAGGCGGATTCTTAACCACTACGCCACCAAGGAAGCCCTAGAGAATTAATTTTAAACTCAAATATTAACTCTACAGTGATGAATGAGCTAGATATTGTTGAAGGTGGATAGTAGAGGGAGGGAAGGGGATGAAGATTTTAAAAAGGAGATTAAACGAAAACATTTGAAGTGTTTGGAGAATTGATAAATCAAGAAAGGTCTCACTGAGTGCTAGTATGTGCTAGGATCAGCACTGGGATATACAAATAAAGAATTGAATTTGAGAGGAAAATCATGCATTGTTAACCTAGGTTTCATCTGGATTTATAAATGGGTTCATCAAAGATGATGAAAAACATCACCAGCCAAGTATCTGTGGGATTATGTGTGGGTTGAATTCACCAGGGGTCCCAGCCTCTTCCATCTTTTTATTCGGAGTTGTCGCCTCACAAACTCACTGACCTTCCCTCCTCTGTGTTCTAGGAGAGACAGCGTCTGGAGACCATCCTCAGTCTCTGTGCTGAGTACACAAAGCCTGACAGTCACGTGTCCACTGGCACCACTGTGGCAGATGTACAGAAAATCAATAAGGAACTGGAGAAGCTGCAGCTCTCTGACGAGGAGTCCGTGTTTGAAGAAGCCCTGGTGAGCCCTGACACCAGATACAGGTGCCACCAGAAAAGCTCTCTCCACGATGCAGACCTGGCAGGCTTCGGGAGCCTCAGTCAGAGTAGCGCCAGCTTCCTTTCCCTCAGGAGCTCCAGGAATGATGAACTGATCAGGGACCTCACCAGGACTCCCCCACCGCCCTCCTCTGCTTTTCTGAAAGCTTCCAGCGAGTCCGCTTATCTAAGCATCCTACCAAAGGTAAAGCCGGCCACACACAGATTAAATTTAGGGCCTGAACCATATGCATCTGCACTGGCCTAGACACTAGAGGTTTTATCCTGGTTGTTTTCCAAACTGTTTTCAGTGAAGCTTCAATTTAAGAGGTAATCAGCTAAGCAAGGTGCAGCAAATTAGGGTGTTTACTATAAAGTAACAAATTTGCACTCTAGAAAATGTAGCAGTACAGAAAAGTATAAAGAAAAACAATTTCTCTTCTCCCTGCCCCCTCCAATTGTACAACTGAGAGAGAAAAACACAAAGTGTCTTACACGCCTTCTCAGTATTTCTGTACATATATGGCCGTATATTATAAGCATAGACATACATATATAAAAGTATAGTGTTCTGTACGATTTTTTTTTCCCTCACTGAATGTCTGGAGCATCTTTGCATATTACTATACACAGTTCTGCCTCATTCTTTGGTTGACTAGTATTTTATTGTTTGGAAATCCTATTTAAATGGTTTCCAGTATTTTATCAACAAAATATATATGCAACAAATATTCTGGAAAATATATAGCACAATTGTGCAAATGTGTCTGTAGGATCACTTACTAAAAGTGGAATTGGTAGGTCAAAGAGTTTGTATATTATTCATTTTAATCAATATTCCCAAATTATACTCTCAAAGGACTGTGTATTTCCAGGTGACACAGAGTAAGAGTTTATCCGTGCACCTTGTTATTCATACACTTGCCAAAGTTATGTATTATCAAAAATTTTTAATATGCTAAGATAATGATGTTTTAATTTTCTTGCCTTTAATTATGCATAAAATTGGACATCTTTTCATATTTTTAGTTGTTCGTTTGTATTTTGAGACACTCATGTTCTTCACCCATTTTTTTGTCTTTAGGACACCTTTATTATTATTTAACTTTTTAAAATTAAAGTATTGTTGATTTCCAATATTATATTAGTTTCAGGTGTACAACATAGTGATTCAATATTTTTATAGATTGTACTCCACTTAAAGTTGTTATAAAATATTGGCAATATTCCCTGCATTGGACAATCTATCCTTATATCTTATTTATTTTATACATAGTTGTTTGTACCTCTTTTTTTTTTTTTTTCCCAGAACACAAATTTATTTGGCATTCGGATGAAACAGTTCTCACAGCATCTTAAGAATTAATGCCAACCCAACCAAAATAAACCCAAACTTAGTGAAAGGAAAACATAAACAGGCCTTGAGACAATGGCCTACAGACACCCACCCCCACCAAGCAGGTCAGCAGCTCTCACAGGAGCACGAGACTCTCAGCCAGGGCTGGTCGGGATTCGTCTGACCACGGAGCACAACCAGATCTCATGATGGCTGGCCTAGGCAGAAGGCCGACCCCACCTCTCCCCTTGCTCCCCCATCCCCACCTGCAGTGGAGCTCAGCCCCTGGGGCACTAGCTCCTGGGGACACTGCGGGCAGCAGGCAAGGCCTGAAACAGTGCTGCACGTGGGCTGAGCAACCCCGGAGCCCTGGCCTGTCCAGAAGCAGGCCCCCCTCTGTGGCCCCCACAGCCTGCTTTGGGCCACCCCCTTAGTGACTCCCACACGCCCAACTGGCCCAGCAGTCCTTCGGTCCCCAAGGAAGTCCCCAGTCCCACACATCTAGTGCCAGCCGCCCTGCCTTGTACACACGGGTCTGAGGCCTGGGCCAGAGACATGGGGGCTGGGAGGGACCCTGAGCTTTTGGGGCCAGGCCCCTCTGGGGCTCCACGGGGGAGCCCACTCCAAAGCAGGAGTGCTCAGGACCCTCACCTAGCACCAACAAGGCCTGTGACAGCTGCTCAGTGCCCAGAACACAGTGGAGGCAGGACACGCTTTCTGCTTTTTCTTCAGCAGCCAGTGCAGCCACTCTCCAGTCCCAGTCCTTGGCAGGGGGAGTGCAGGCCTGATCGGCATGCAGCCTGCCCGCGTGGGGCCACCTGCAGCACTCTGGCTCCTGTGGGCCGAGCCCCGGTCTGTGGGCAACTTGAGAAGCTCATGCTGCCCAGGGAAGAACAAAACGGTCCCCAACGGGAGACTGTGAGAAAGTGTCCAGAAATAGACTGTGCCAGCGAGGGCTGTCACCACAGAGCACCCACTTCAAGTCATCCCCCGCTCACTGCTGGTCTGGGAGGGCGCGAGGGGCCAGGGAAGGGCTCCCTGATCTCAGCTGAGGGCCACGCCTTGGGGCCGCCCAGCACGCCATGGCTGGCCCTGGAAAGGGGGGCCCCAGGCCTGTTTGTACCTCTTAATCCCCTACCCCTATCTTACCTCTCTTCCATCCCTTTCCCCATTGGTAACCACTAGCTTGTTCTCTATATCTGTAAGTCTGTTTCTGTTTTGTTATATTTGTTTGGTATTTTTATTTTAGGTTCCACATGTAAGTGCTAATATACAGCATTTGTCTTTCTCTGGCTTACTTATTTCACTAAGCATGATATCCCCCAGGTCCATCTATGTTGTTGCAGATGGGAAAATTTCATTCTTTTTTATGACCGAGTAATATTTCATTGCCTATATATATACCACATCCTCTTTATCCATTCATTTGTTGATGGACACTTAGGTTGCTTCCATTTCTTGGCTATTGTAAATAATGCTGCTATGAACATTGGGGTACATATATCTTTTCAAATTACTGTTTTTTGTTTTCTTCAGATATATGCCCAGGATTGGAGTTGCTGGATCATATGGTAGTTCTGTTTTTAGCTTTTTTGGGGAACCTCCGTACTGTTTTCCATAGTGACTCTACCAGTTTACATTCCCACCAACAGTGTATTAGGCTTCTCTTTGCTCCACCTTCTTCCCAATACTTGTTATTTGTGGACTTTTTGTTGTTTTCTGACAGGTGTGAGGTGATATCTCACTGTGGTTATGATTTGCATTTTTCTGATGACTAGCAATGTTGAGCATCTTTTCATGTGCCTGTTTGCCATCTGTATGTCTTTTTTGAAAATATGTCTATTGAGGTCTTCTGCCCATTTTTTAATTGAGTTGTTTTTCTGATATTGACTTATATGAGCTGTATATTTTGAATATTAACTCCTTATTGGTCATATCATTGCAAATATTTTCTCCCATTCAGTAGGTTGTCTTTTCATTTTGTTGATGGTTTCCTTTGCTGTGCAAAAGCTTTTAAGTTTAATTAGGTCCCATTTTGGGGGCAGTGGGGGAATCCAATTAAATTTTGGTGGAAACTTCAGGGTTTTGTGTATATGGTCATGTCATCTGCAAATAGTGACAGTTTAACTTATTCTCTTCCAATTTGGATGCCTTTTTATTTCTTTTTCTTGTCTGCTTGCTGTGGCTAGGGCTTCTAATATTATGTTAAATAGATGTTCTGAGAGTGAGCATCCTTGTCTTGTTCCTGATTGTAGAGGAAAATCTTTCAACTTTTCACGATTGAGTATGTTAGCTGTGTGCTTGTCATAAATGGCCTTTATTATGTTGAGATTTGTTCCCTCTGTATCGACTTTGATGAGAGTTTATCATGAATACATGTTGAATTTTGTCAAATTCTTTTTCTGTGTCTATTGAGGTGATCATGTGATTTTTATCCTTTGTTTTGTGAATGTGGTGTATCACATTGGTTGATTTTCAGATATTGAACCATCTTTGCATCCCTGGAATAAATCCTACTTGATTATGGTGTGTACTTATTGCCATTTTCTTATTTATTTACTGGTTGTTATTGTAATTCTGCTTTTTTCTCTTTTTTTAGTTTGTTCCCTTGTGGTCTGATGATTTTCTTTAGTGATATGCTTGTGTTCTTTTCTTTTTAGTTTTTGTGTATCTGTTGTAGGCTTTTGATTTGTGGTTACCATGGGGTTCATGTATTGACCTATAGCTATATCTACTTGTTTTAAACTGATAATCACAAGTTCAAACACATTCTAAAAGATCTACATTTTTACTCCCTTTCCCCATGTTTTGTGTTTTTGATGCCATATTTTACATCTTCATGCATATCCCTTAACTGTTTATTGTAGTTATAGTTGATTTTACAATCTTTGTCTTTCAGTCTTCATGCTCACTTACTTAAGTGAGTGATCCACAGCCTTTGCTGTATATTTGCCTTTACCTGTGGGATATTTCCTTTCTTATAAATTCTCACTTCTTGTTGTAGCCTTTTCTTTTCCACTTAAAAAGACCTTTTTCTTTTAGGGTCACTTTAGTATTGATGAACTTTTAGTTTTTGCTCGTCAGAGAAATTCATATTTTCTTCAAATCTGAATGATAACCTTGTTGGATAGAGTATCCTAGGTTGCAGGTTCTTCCCTTTCAAGATTTTGAATATATCATGTTGCTTCCTTCTGGCCTGCAAAGTTCCCGCAGAAAAATCAGCTGATAGCTTTATAGGGATTCCCTTGTATGTGACTCTGTTTTTCTTTTGCTGTCTTTAAAATTCTCTTTTTATCTCTAGCCTTTGCCATTTTAATTATGATATGTCTCAATGTGGGTCTCTTTACGTTCATTTGTTTGGGACTACCTGTGCTTCCTGTACTAGAAATCTGTTTCCTTCTTCAACTTCAGGAACTTTTCAGCCATAATTTCATCAAATACATTTTCTATCCCTTTCTGTCTCTTTTCACTCTCTGGGCCCCCTATAATGTGAATGTTATGACACTTGACGTTGTCCCAGAGGTCCCTTAATCATTTTTTAAAATTTGTTTTTCTTTTTGCTGTTCTGATTGGGTGATTTCATTATTCTCTCTCCCAGATTGCTTATGTGTTCTTCTGTATCACCTAATCTGCTATTAATTCCTTCTAGTGTATTTTCCATTTCAGTTATTGTATTTTTGAGCTCCGTTTGGTTTTCCTTTCTTTCTTTTTTTTTTTTTTTTATGTTTTCTGGTTCCTTGTTAAAATTCTTCCTGTGTTCATCTATTTTTTTTTTAACCAAGTTCAGTTAGCATTCTTATTACTAATGCTTTGAACCCTTTATCTGGTAAGTTATTTATCTCTGTTTCATTAGGGTTTTCTTCAGGTTT